GCATTAGCCAAGCAGTAGAGGAGCGGTGGCATGACAGGTGCCTGGGGACACTGGTTCTGTATTAAATCATTTGAAAATGTTTTAACACTAAAAGTCAAAATGCCATCAGGGTACACCAGACACTATAACCACTTTATTGAGATTTGAAAACGAAATTTTCCCAGAAAACCTTTAAATTTGAAAAAGAAATGAAAAGAAATGCAGGGAACCACTATTTGAAAAAGGAACACGGGACAAGCCAAAGGATTGGGAATATTCAATTTCTTAAAGGGATATTAACTTTTGTTTCTGTTTATGCATTATAGACACACTTCCCTGGTTGTGACTCACACAGCCTACATGAAAAGAAATTGGTTTCATTTAGATCTGAACTTACCATGCAAGTTATTTTCTCCTGCTCTGTAAATTGAACTTTAATCACACACAGGAGGCTCCTGTAGGATCTAGAATGCCATTAACAGTACAGGATATAAATTCTAAATTAAACAGAATGTGCAATCAAGGAAGTTTAAACATTAGATCTCTCTTTACAGGGAGTGTTTAGGAAGGCTGTGTATGTCACTTGCAGTAAGAAATGGCTAGGACTGCATAAACAAAAGTGATTTAATTTCTAAATGGCAGATAATTGAGCAATGAGACTGCAGGGTCATCATCTGTACACCACAACTACTTCATTAAGCTAAATATGTTTTGATGCTTATCCCTTTAATGTAGAATATGGTATCCTCTGCATACAATGTAAATCCTATGTTTATTGATTCAAGAAAACAGTTTGCTATAATGTTCTTACAGTTTTGTAATGTTATTCAACAGATTATGGAGATAAATTGAATTTGGAGCTTGGTGAGAGATACAACTTGGATAAGGACAACTTTCCATATTATTACTTCTTTGTGGATGGTGACATTAACAATCCAATAGTCTACACTGGCCCAGTGAAGACAACAGCTATCCAGCGTTGGCTAAAATCTAAAGGAGTATATATGGGAATGCCAGGGTGCCTTGAAGAATATGATGGCTTGGCCGGAGAATTTATGAGTTTACCTACGAAAGAAGAGCGTGCTAACCTACTGAAGATAGCTCACGCCAAGTTGATGGACATAAGTGAAGCAGACAAAAAGTCTGCGGAACAGTATGTTAAAATCATGGATAAGATAATGGAACAAGGGGATATGTTTGCGAACAGTGAGCATGAGCGTATTGCCAGTCTGATTGAGAAGAACAAAATGAGTGAATCTAAGAAGGAAGACCTTCAAAAGAGGCTTAATATAATCAGTAGCTTCCAGAACAGACTACAAGATAAGGAGGAACTTTGAAGGCAATAGTTATTGTGTCGCGAACCCTCCGTTGTACTTGTCTAATTCACGCACAGTAATAATTCTCCAACACTCCTTTGACATTTACTTGAAACAAGAAGTTTGTGTAGGAGCAAGATTTAGAGTTATCTACACCTACATAAACCATATGGGGAGGGTTATTCTAGAGCAAAGCAACTGACCACTTTTTATTGGCTACCTGAAATAATAACGAGAGATTGGATTGTGAGTAAAGTAACTTTAGTGAGATGTTTGATCATTAAGTATTTATAATTGTGGAGATACATCTGTTTTAGATCATTTCTTACTTGGTAAAATGATGATGTGCATCTGCCCTGCTTGGTACAGCATCATCCTAAAGTATTACCGAATAAAAAAGTCAAATTTACTTTGGGCAATTTTATGCTCCGTTCTTGATTACTTTTTTACATTAGGCTACTTCCAATGTCTATGGCACAGACTGGCATAAAAGTATGTTAATTTAGTTCTACAGGTATAATTCATAAGTTTGTTTGGAGCAGGTAGTCACATTTTAGGAGCTATGACTCTCTTATTCCAGGAGTTTGTTGAAACCTGGTCTATGTGAGATGAAACATCAATAGCAGAAGGTAATAAAAAGTTCTAAAGCACACTGCGTGAATAACTTCTCAAAGGATAGATATTATTAGACACACAATATCTAGTACACATGTAAAATAGAGGATACTTTGCAGTAACGTGTATTGTCGTCATTGGAATTAAGTTGTTATGGTGCCAGAAGGTGCCTGGCACCAGCTTACCTTTATGAGTTAAACTGTTCATGAATGGTTTAAACGGAAAGTTTAGTATCCAGTGCCCCCTTCCCAGCCTTCTCCATGCCTGTCATTATTTGTCTGAATAAATGATAGCAGCGGTTGCTCAGAAGTGTAACTCGCACTAATCTCAGGCAGCACTGCTTCTATATTAGAGACCTCCTAACAGTAACAATGTTACTCAGTGTAACGCAGATTTGAAAACAAGATATGCTCGTACACACATATATACATGACAAGCAATTTAAGATGAAAATGTCAGTTTTAGCCACATATAATGTCTATAAGAAAAGTAAACAATGTGGAAATGCTAAACGTCCTGACAGATCTGTTCACATGATGGATAATCCTAACCTATAGACACGAGACAAATTGTAGCATTTAACAGGGTTACAGCATCAGTGTTAAGGACTATGTGAGATTCTTTTCAGAAATGATATTTATGTCTTCTGCTATAAACTGTTCTGGAGTAATATATATAAAATAATCTAGTAATAGTTGCCCTTTGCAATGTGTTTCTTTATTTAAAAATGTATAATTGAACAATTTATTAAAATCCAACAATTTAAAACATGTTTGTTTCAATACTGTGTTCTTAAAGAGACAATCTGGGCACCAGTATGATTTTAATGCATTTGGCCTTATTAATGTGTTTAGGACGCTCTAATTTTTGTAGTTCTTGAAAAACATTTTTTTTTTGTGCAATGCTCCATAAACCTGCCTTCTTGGCCACACCCTTTCATTACAGAAAAAAGACTTCCTTATCAGTGTATTAACACTGCTCAGACATTGAAAGCACTGAGTGTTGTGATTGCCAATCTGCCTGCGTTAGAAGAGGGACACTGTGGCAGACACATTAAATATGTCACTGTTCCTTCTCTGAATGTCTGCAAAAAGGTTTTGGGTTAAATTAAGCAGCTTCATTGTACATTACTAGTGAGCAGAGGAAAGTACCGATGTGGGCTAAACATTACACCTCAATGAAGGTTAACTGCATGGAACACAGTGGGAGGGAATCCTAGGGTTAAAATGCACATTAATAAAAACTTTGCATAATGCTTTTCTAGATACCTTACTAAAATGTAGTTTTCTTCCAATCTTCACACTAGCAGCAATGCAGTAAATCCAGACAATGCCAGGTTTGGCTAAACTCAGAACTCTCCCAATGAGAGCAGTATTGACATCACCTCTTACTTGTTTCATTTTGTTAGCCATCCATGGGGTATAATGTTTAGCCTATACTTCATTTGATCTACATTCAAGCTGCAGACAGTCAGACACAACAGACAATATCCTTACTGTGTGTTTGCCTGTGTATCCTGTCCTGATGCAGGCTACTTGACTTCCAGTTGTTAGCACGGGCGTAGGAACCTAGGGGCATGGGGGGGACGCATCCTTCCAAGGAAATCATCCGGGGGGGACAGATAATGCAGAAATTCCCCCCAAGTCCGCCGGCCGAAGGGGAGCGCAAAAATCACTTGTCAGACTGACAAGTGATGTATGCCGTCCCCCTGACAGGCTGCGTGCGGCTCCATAATGGAACCGCACGCAATGTACACTGGGAGGGGGAGCGCTTCCCCCTCCCGCTCTGCATAGGAGCGCCGGGTGTCACGTGACTAACCGGCGCTCAGTCTTACACCGTACACCGTGCGTCCCCCTCCCCTGCTCTGTGCGGTAAAACGGCAGGGAGGGGGACAACCGTGTGCAAGGGGCAGAGTGGAGCTGGCGTCATTATAAGCTCAGACGCCGGCTCTGAAAAAAAAAAGCAGATGCCTGCCCTGCCCTGCCACTGCCAGGTATTTAGTATGGAAGGGTTAGAGGGGAGATATAATTTGGGGAGGGGGGTGGGTAGAAAAATTAATGGAAGGGGTTAGGGGCTACTAATAGGAATGGAAGGAGGTGGAAGGTTACTAATAGGGGTAGAAGAGGGTACTAATGTGAATGGAGGGGGTAGCAGGGGGTACAAATATGAATGGAGATGGTTAGGAGGGGGTACAAATATGAATGGAGGGGGTAAGAGAGGGTATTAATATGAATGGAGGGGGGTACTAATATGACTAGAGGGGGTGGGGCTGTGGGGGGTAGTAATATGAATAGGAGGGGCTTGTAATATGAACGGAACAGGTATAGGGGGTAGTAATATGACCGGAAGGGGTATGGGGGCTAGTAATATGAACGGAACAGGTATAGGGGTGTAGTAATATGAACGGAAGGGGTATAGGGGGGTAGTAATATGAACGGAAGCGGTATGGGGGGGTAGTAATATGAACAGAAGAGGCATGGGGGTAGTAATATGAACAGAAGGGGTATAGGGGGTAGTAATATGAACGGAAGGGGTATGGGGGTTAGTAATATGAACGGAAGGGGTATGTTTGTTTATTGTTTACAAAAAAAAATAAAAATAACATTTTTATTTCATACATTTGTGATGATTCTTTTTTCCCCTCTATATTCAAGTGACGCTATAGTCACCAGAACCACAACGGCTAAACGTAGTAGTTTTGGTGTTTATAGCATGTCTCTGCAGGCTTTTTAATGTAAGCGCACTGCCTTTTCAGAAAAAGGCAGTATTTACATTACTGCCGAGGAATACCTTATCAGGCGGCTAGAGGTGCTTCCTAGTCCAGTGTTGCACAGTGTTGCTCCTCTGTGAGGAGATGCTGATTGGTGCAGCGCAGTGTTTTGCCACGCATTGGGTTGGCTGATATATATTAAAACACTGTACATTCCAGTGCATTGTATTGATGAGGCGATCTATAATACGCTCACAAACTGCACGTTCCTGTGAGTTATTTTGCTGTAGAGCTTGTGATACACTCACACACTGCACTTTCCCATGCATTTTATTGCTGAGGTGTTCTGTGATGTACTTGCACCTCACACATTACTGTCAGTTGTATTGCTGTGGAGCTATGCGATACACTGATATGCTTCACATTATATTATTTCACACACACACACACTTAAAATTTAACATTATTATTATTATTTTATTATTTACATAGCGCCATCAAATTCCGTAGCGCTGTACAATGGGATAAACAACTATACCTGGCGAGTAAGAATACTATCCCCCCAGATTTGTGGGGGTTTCTACACCCATGGTTGTTAGTTCCTGAGTTGTGTAGACTGATCAGGAAGTCTTTATTTAGATTGATGGGGCACCACTAAGAAGGCAGGCTTATGGTTCAACATTCTGTAAAATATTTCGATTTTTTGTGCAAAAACTGAATTTTGGAAGAAACCCTCCTCCTCCCCCATAGATTTATGCTGTCATAAATTAAAGTTGTATTGATACCCATAGTGTCACTTTAATAAAATCAGAAAAAAAGGTTAACCATTCAAAATATGTACATAACTGTGAAATAAATAGCAAACATTAAAATGGAAATGGAAGAGGTGATAAATGGCAACAGCTCAGAGAAAGACATTTATTTATTTTTAATTTATGGGATCAATTAAATCGAAAAGAAACCCAGCTCAGATCTATCAGATTTAGAAATAACGTGTGAATCCAATCAAACAGGAATCAATGATTCTGAGAAGTTAATTTATTCAACTTCATCCAGTTGGCCATCTATTTAAAACAATCATCATTTAATAAATGTAGAGTCCTTTGACCTGTATATAGAGTTTTTCTTTCAAAGAACACTGTGTCAAGCTAGCAACTACCACATCAGAATTATATCTATCAAGTTGCACGTGCACAATGTAGCCATACTCTGGAGGAAATGTTTAGCTGATAAGATTTTTTACAGAACAAAATAATAAATAAAATAAAAAATGTTTAAAGTGTAAGCGCTTTCTTACCTGAAGGGGTTAAACCATTATTGTACAGTTTAACCCTAAATGTTGCTCTCCACCAGAGGCACTCTGCGCTTATTTTTCACCTGAAGGGGTTAAACCATTCTTGAACAGTTTACCTCAAATGCTGCTCTCCATCAGAGGCACTTTGCGCTTTCTTACCTGAAGGGGTTAAACCATTCTTGAACAGTTTAACCCCCAAGGCTGCTCTCCAGCGGTGTCACTCTGAAACTGCATTAAAGGAACTGGATGCCGCTGAATACAGGAAAATCCGGTGCTAGAGAACAAGCCTTCAGGTAAGAAAGCACCAGGGACCTCTGGGCACTATAACAATGTAATATTGATGAAGTTGTTATTGTGCCTATTCAGTCCCTTTAAGCCCTTAAGGAAACATGACATGTCTGACATGCCATGATTCCCTTTTATTCCAGAAGAATGGTCCTTAAGGGGTTAAATATGTAATAATCTGATTATAGAATGTATATACATACGTCTAAATAACTGCCACTTTAAAATTTCTGAAGCCTAACACAAGGGTATAATGGAATGGTTTGCAATATTTTTTAAACTATGGGTATTGCATTTGCCATTTATTAGTTTAACATGCGGCCATTAATTGCCATAAATTTCACTGTTCACATCTCCCTATGTTCCTCAAAATATTTAGTACCTCAGTTCAGTAGTTCAGTTTTATTTTCCAGATGAAAGACATAATATATTTATTACGATTTTTATTTTTTGGTTGAGCGATATTCTTTTCTTGCGACAATTCCCTAATAAATAAATCTACCAATATTTTGTGTTGCTACAAAGGCTAATTAAAGACATTCCAATTTAAATTTCCCAACTTGCAATTTTGCTAGCTTGGTTTGCTGGCCAGACCTATACATGTTAGCTGCCCAGCCATTTAAATTATCTACACAGATTTTGCAAAAGTAGACAAGGTATTTAACATGATAATTTCATTGTGTTAATAAATCCTTCATTGTTTCTTACCTTAAGCATTATGTTTTAATGCAAAAAAAAAAAAAGCTTACAGCTTATTCACTAAAGTGAGAATTCAAACTGAATTCAAAGAGAATTTTCAATTTAAGGCAAAAGTAGTCAAAGTGGAAAAATTCTCTGAGCCGGCAATGCTTTCAGCTCCTTTGGTCGCTACTTTTGTTCAAAGCTGGTTAATGGTGATACTAGAGGTGGAGTTATATATCCCGGCAGCGGTCGCACATATCTCTTTATGTGCAGCATGTCATACTAGAATGCTGCACATATACACTCCTTGCACCATAACTACTTCAAAACACTGAAGTGGTCATGGTGCTTGGAGTATTCTTTAGGTTTTGATATTTATATATTTAATTTCTTTAAAATTTGCAGTCTATTAAATAAATCCCATAATTGTTTTACCACCAATAGTGATTATCATCTCACTTAAAATATCTATCATCCTGCCTACCTACCCAATTATGTTATCAATGTAAAGAAGTTATAAACTTCATTAGAAAGCCTTTGGGAGCAACCTTGCCCATGTAGAAAGTTGATAAATACAGAAATTAGTTTACTAGTTACAATTTTTTGCCTCTGTACTGCAGCTAATTACACCAAATTATGTTCTCGTTACTCCAAATTTGTCACTACAAATTCGGAACCAAGCGAATAACCCTAAAGTGGCTCTGTCATCAAAAATGAACTTGAACCAATCTGCTTTCCATAAATATGAATCTCTTTAGAGCATTTTCGTAACATACATATAGGAAAGCAAGGACTATTTTAACTCATGTGTAGAAGTCAGGTTGACAAAACTCGGCAGTGGGCGGGGCTTAAAGCAGGGTTCTGTTTCAGTTGCCAATCAGATTTACCCACAGTCCTTCAGTAAAACCAGTCCCACAGAAGGGGCGAACAGCACACATCACGGTTAGAGGAAAACAAAATGGCGGCCCTTCCGGTATAGAAGATCCTGTACGAGGAATTAGACATTTAAATAAAGGTAAGTGGCAAGATGGGATTACTTCACTCCAATTCAGTGTGAGGATAAGAAGTCAGGGAGGAAGGCTACTGCTATTAGACAAATATTTATCTGAATCTTTATTTCCTGGATAACTGTGGCAGCAGAGAGGAATAAATTGTGGAACGATGTCTTCTTGCCATGTGACCTTCAGTGCTTATTTCTGTTAAGTGCAACAGTTAGGAAGGAGTAGGCCAAGATTTAATGCTATACTCACCAGGCCAATATATTTTGTAGGCCTAACCAGGGTTCAGCTGGAGCCATGGCAATCAGAGGCGGCGTGGCAACTTTTGAATTTGTCGGATAATTTTGTTTACACATGAAATTCCAGGACATCTGTGTGGATGGTCCTAGGCAACCTGTGGACCCCCAAATAAGGGCAATGTAGATGGATTGTTATAATTGAAGAAAAACGATTGGAAATGGTTATAAATGAAATATCACAAAAACAGCAGGAAACAAATTACTCCACCATAGCAGTAGATGTGCTCCAAGTTCTCGGTGCCAGCAGCAATGTCCTTCAGCTTCTCTACCTTTAATAGCCAACAGCGAGCGTTTCTGCAGAGGATACTCTCTGGGTGTACCTCTTTAAGTGAAGCTTCTCTGTGAGATGTCTCACAGTGTCCCCTAGTGTCTCAGTGTTCCCTAGTGTCTGTGTCCCCTGGTGTCTCAGTGTCCCCATATGTCCCCTAGTGTCTCAGTGTCCCATATTCCCCTGCTGCCTCCCCCCTCCCCCTCCTTCCTTCACTTCCCTGAGCTGTAGTCTGTCTCTGCACACTGGGATCTGTTATCTGAACTCTCTGTGCTGTGTAGCTGCTCCCCCACTGATAAGTGAGTAGAGAGAGACAGGGAGGGATATGCTGTAACTTCCTATCCCTGCCTCTCTCCACACCACATGCAGTGACCCCTACTGGCTGGTGCTGGTATTGCAGAGTAATCTCCGTTTATACCGAGAAAAATATCTTCATTTATATTGCCGGTATTACTGCAATACCGGCACAGCCGGGCCGCCTTAAATATCGGCTGTGCTGGTAAAATACCAGTCAGATAGCAAACCCAAAAGTAGTGTGTAAAAACCTTTTTTTTAAATGGGCCTATTCAATGGGCCTGGGCCTGGAGCTGCAGCTCCGTCAGGCCCTATGTTAATCTGGACCTGACTGCAGGGATATGCAGTTAACCCATAAAGCACTCCAGCAAGCGGAAATGCTTTAGGGGACTGGATAGTTCCTTTAATGGTTAAAAAAGTTGTCCAATTTTTTTCAAAAAAAGGAACACATCAGAATAGAAAAATTTATATATATTTTTAATTAGTGTGTTCCTTTAAGTCCTGTTATGCAAACAGCTATATTTGTGTCCGGCGTCCCTTCCCTAGGAAGTAGAAGACTTGAAAAACCAGTTAAAACTATTTGCATTTGGGTTCACCGGGTTTCATATGTAAATTAACAAATAAAGCGATACAACAGACATATCCTTATTGGGGATTTTTTTTAAGCAAGCAAAAATAGAACAGGGCAATTACCTTCTGAAAATTCAAAGCTTGAGCGTGACATAAAATCATGTGATTCAAAGTTAATTCTTCAAGCTGTACTGAGAATAGAAAAAAAAACTTTGCAGATTTTCCGAGGTTGTGAGATGCAAATGGGTGTAGATTATTTATTGCATTGCTGCTGTTTTCCAACAGCAAAAGTAAACTGGAGGTTTGGTCGGCAATGCATTAAAAATACAAATACAGTGACATATCTATTGTAGGCATCTACAAGTATGTGGTGGATTGGTATGACATCTTCTTTGCATATAGATTCTGATTACATAATGCAAGTACCGTAGGATGATAATGCAAATTATACATATATCCTTTACCAGAAAGTGCCTTTATTTAGCCATATGAAAACCACGTATGAAAAGGAGATTGGAGTGGGAAGGAATATGCAGTCTAATGCGTTTTGAGTGTTTAGCATGCTGTCAAAGACTAGACAGTGCACATTTGACACACATACATGCTCTGCCCCATGTCTTATTTTGGTGGAAATAACTACATAAATACCTCTGGGAACAGAGCGTGATTATCCATAAGGTAACCATAAGCACCTGTATCCCTATTTGAAGAATGAAGTAGGGGTCCTACACTGGTAAACCTGCCTAAGGTACTGTGGGGTCTTAATCCTTCCCTTATTGGAAGAATGAACATTCTTTCTGTGTAAATGTTGACATACACAATGAATGATCTAACACAAGGCTGGGCAGACAGTATATCCCCATAAGTAATAGCATTTCGATAAGCTCATGCTACAATCAGGGAACTAGGACCCTGCAGAGAGCACTGAAACCATTCTCTCTGCATCGTCCGCTCCCA